AGTCAAACTCAATATTTCGAATATGTTACAGAAAGGAAGAAATGTTTTAATTATATAAGGAGAAAAGAGAGCTATCGATTTTCAGTTCGATTTAAATTCAATTTTTTTTCATCATGTAGTCATCCCAAAATTGAAAAAATAAATTACAGTATATCATAAATTTTCAGTTGATTATAGGTTCCGATTTTTTTTTTCTTTTGTCTTTACGTTTTGCGTTTCCATGTTATATGGGAATGAATAAAGTATCGGAAATTTGTAATATTGAAACACAAACGTAAAAAAGAACAAACAATCAGTACTGACAATTTGATTCGTTGCAATTTATGATGAAATGTTTTTTTTTTTGAGAATAGCCACACAAACAAAAAAAATTACTATTTGAAGATTTTAGAAAAGCCATGCAGCAACACGGCGAGGCAAGAGACAACAAGTGCAACCGCGTCAGTAAACTTCATTATACTTTTGTTTGTTTGTATAGTTCTATGAAATTGTTTTTACTGTTACATCCAATAATTGAAATACTATTGTTAGAATGAAAAATCTAATTTGTTGTGGATGAGCTTGTGGTGAGCAAACTTTTGTCTTTGTGTTTTCAACTCTTGGGACCATCAACTGAAAGCTACTATTCGTTTATATCTTCATTTAAGTTTTTTGAAAACACTTAAATGAAGATATAAACGAAATAGTAGCTATCTTCATTTAAGTTTTTAACGGTCTAATGTCCGATCAGGTTTCTCGTGGACATATATATTGTACATACGTTGATAGTGGACATTCCAACATTCAAAGTGCTTGCCGTTTCATCCACTAAAAAACGACGTGCTGTTTAATGGGCTTAGAAGCCCCTAATACGTTTTGAAACCCAAACTGTTGCCGTGTCATGTTGGAGACAAAATTTCCCGTTGCTGTCCGGCGATTGAACTCCATCTCCGGTCATCACGCCGTTTCTCGTATTGTTGTACTTGTTCCATTAGAGATCTGTTGGTGTGTAAAGCGACGAGCTTTATCACACTCTCTTTAAAATTTGCTTGTAAAATTACTCGGGATAATGAATTTCTCTGCCACACACAAGTTTTGTGATTATTTGTTTAGCAAACTCAGAGATCTTGTGAATTTGGATACTTTGTTTCAATGAGGCTCACTTCTTGTACATCAATTTTCTTTAAAACAGTATTATATCCCCAGCTCAAGGGAAAAGTGGAGTAATGCAGTCTTTTGCTCTCCTCACTATACCATTTTCTCTTCTTTTTATGTTTTTCTTTTAACTCATGGTCCTTTCTGTGCTCTCACTACGATCTTCTAACTTCTCTTTCTCTGCATCAGCCAGCATGTCTGGATCAAATGGTCCAAAAACCATCATGTTCTTGGTCTTGTGGATCATTTACTTGTCTTCTATTTTCTTCCTTTTTTTCGCTGGCACCATACTTGAAACAAAATGAATCAAAGGAGCAAGACGAAGAAAGAAGATAGGGAGGTTTTGTTTGACAAGTCATTTTCTGACTCGCGAAGATGGAGTATGGCTATATAATCAGATGTTTTTATCAAGTCATTGCTAAACAAAGCTCACTTCCACGCAATATGCAGAGTGAAGACACTCAAACTGGGGGAAGGTCATATAGAAGCAGGGAAGCTTTTGGAACTTTATCAGGTTGCACAATGTGTCTGCATCTTGAATTAAATAGTTTATGTCAATATGTAGCCTTGTTCCATGTGCATATATTTCAAATGAGCTGAGCTACATATAAATTTGTGCACTCGATTGGTTCTCTGCCTCTGAAGCAGTACAAGGGATTTTATGTTTGAAATTTTATGGAAGTTATAATGCTTGTGGTGATTTAGAGTTTTTTTTTTTCTCTCCTCACAAAATGTAGTGTTAGCAATAATTCTCCTTCTGCTTAGATGTTTTTTCATTCACTTTTTATAAATTATTTTTCAGATATGGAAAACAAAGGGAGTGCCTGAATCTAGTAGTCGGACTGTTAAAGCTGAGGCCGATATCATTGATGCAGTTAATGATCTTGGGGTTACTCTTTTAGTAGTACAGTTCAAACGAGTGAAAGACCAATGGAGATTATTAAGATGGCAATCACAGGGCTTACCTACATGTTGAAGAACTTATTGAGGTTTGTCACTGATTCAATTCCTGTAAAGCAGTTTCTCAACATTAAAGCGTGCTCTGGTTACCGTTCTTTCCTGGCTGGCCAGGAATGGGTCTGCGCCAAAAGATGAGCTTACGCAGTTCATCTCGGGTAAGAATATCAAGAGCTCATGGTCTGAGCCACAATCATACGTTATGCCATGAGATGGTTCGGCTGAGTTACTATCATATATGCAGAAGACTGAAGCCACACTTAACCAAGCGTTACCTGACCAGGCTAATGGCTCTAGCAGGCTCACAAGCACTCTGGTCGCACCTTAAATCATCTCAGGTTGCTGTGTCGTCTATCTCTCAAGGCTTAGAGATCTTCCCTGAGGCCTGAGGGTCTATCGAGTGTTGAGACACCTGTTTCCTGTTTTTATAAACTCTCTGCTAGTGTTACTGCGGCTTCACAAGCTGAAGCTCTTCTGGCGATTTTAGAAGGATGGGAAGAGTTGTTTGAAGCTAAGAAAGCTGAACTATTGCCATCTAATGAGACAATCGAGCAAGGAAATGATTGGACCAATGATGATTGGAATGATGGATAGGAAACACTGCAAGATTCAGAACCTGTGGAGAAAGTAAACAAGGAATACACACATTCATGCTGGCTTGATATATTCAGAAAGTATATTGCATTTTGCAAGTCTGTAATTGCTCTACGACGAATGCTTTTCATAGAGGTCCTAAATTAGATTGGAAAGTTACCTTAATAAATTAGGTTAGGTTTAGTGTCAATAAGTTTACATTAATCACAATTGAATACAAATTAGAAAAATCCAACAATCTAAAATTACATACAATTGGTGAAAAAAGGAAAAGCCTTAAAAAAGAACAACATTATTCATCTCTATAATATTAAAACAGAAGTACATTTAGGAGAATGTCCAAAATTGATTCAAATATTACACAAATT